TCTTTGTGTGTAAAACATCATTTACCAAATGGAGAGGGTGATGAATATATTCATGCTCAGGCATCTTACCATGGATGGTATCAGTAAGCTGCTCCAGACTCTCTTGATGCTGCATCGTTCCATCTGTGTTTTCTGACCGATTCTCGTGCATCATTTCATCCATCTGGTCTTTCTCCCAGGTGCCAGGCTGACAATACAGTCTGTGGTCACTTAATGCCCAGCCATGTTGGATGCTGCTCACTGTAACAGGGCAGTAGTCTGGTGGAGGAACGGCAGCCGGACGAGAACTTTCCACCTCCATAGTTGTAGATCCACGGTTGTGGTCTGTTGGTGCTATAACATTTCCATTGGACAGCGCTACCAATAAAGCAACTCTGTCTGTTCCGTCGGGGACTTGATCCACCTGCATCTCAGAGTCAAGGTCCTGAGTTGTTCCTGATCTTGAAGCGGGGCCTGACTGCCATGAGATGGACAGCTGTATGTTTCCAGGTTCGGTCACTATCATGTTGTTTTCCTCTCCTTCTTCGTCAGTGTCAGACAGGTCTACCGTGTCGCCGTTTCTAAGTGGACAATTAACTGAGCTGGGGTCATTCTGGTCCCCGTGGTGCATGTGTGCATCTTGAATTTCCCTCTGCACCACTGACGGAGCCAAGGCCTCGGTTTTAGAACAGACAGCAGCACCACCTGTTTCTCCCTTTTTAATTTCAGTGTCAACTTCCATACTCGATGCGCTTGTGGCTTTCATCATTCCCCTTCCTTGACCTCTAACCACTAGTGACCCCCCGCCCACAGTACCTATCAATCGGACATCTGCGCTCTTGTAAACCCCGCCTCTTTTTTCTACTACATCAGACGCCGCGGAGCCGTCTATCAACACATCCTCCTTTTTATGCGCATCTGCTTTCTCCGGAATGACACAGTTCCTTAGGGATTCTTCCTGCAAGGGGACGGTGACAGCCTTGGCAACAGGCGTATGTGACTGAGTATTAGCCAGTGCAACAGGCATTTGCACCTTATCTTCATCATTTACCTCCCCCTTGGTCAAATCAAAGCTCTTGATATGCGTCAACTGGTCCACTTTCCCTTTAGGAGTGACCCCAGGGTCCCTGCCGGCCACCCTTCCTCTTCCTCTCCCCTTCCCTGTCCCCGAGGTTCTGACATTGTGCCCCGTGCTGTTGGGGCCACAACAGTCACAGGACTTTGGAGTCCTCTTCCTGCCCGATGTGCGGCCATTGACTGGGCCCGGAACAGGTGTTGGTGTCTGTGCAGAAGACCACACTGATTCCTGGCTTGACTTAGTACTTAATGCTTTGGCTGGAGTTACAACAGGCTGCTCTGTATCAGCAGGAGTGCCGGTCTGAGTCAGATCAGAGTTGGACGTAAGGCCTGCGGTGAGGAGTTTAGCAGGGGACTGGGTTTGGTCCTGATCTGTAGTACCTCCAGACGGAGGGACTAAAGGAGGTGCTGTAGTTAAATGAGGTGATGCTGACGGTGTTGTGTTCATTGGGGAAGCAGAGCCGCTGTGAACCATGACGTCCTCCTTTGGCTTCTTAACCCCATCCCAATACCCGCTCTCTGCTCTCCTGTCCTCGCTTCCCTTTTGGTTTGTTGGACCGGCAGTATAACAGCCTTTCTAGATGTTATGCTCTCGCTTCCCTTTAGGTGTTCTTCTAGCCAGTACATTTGCCATTGTTCTTAAGCTTTTCCAACCACGACAGCAGACATGAATGTGCAGGTTGGACACTTTTCTGCGTGTTATATTTCTGCCATGGTCTCCTAATTGGTAGAGAAGAAAAAAAAGGAGAGAGAAAAAGTCGGTTTGTTTTTGCTCTGCGAGGCTCAACTTCAACAAACACGTTTATGTCAGCAGCACAAACGCAGATAAAAGCAGGCCTACAATATAACAACAGGTGGGATTTCAACTGTGGCAAGGAAACCAAAACAATTTAAAAGATGCACACATCGCAGTGCACAGAAAATAAACCAGACACACAAGATGTGCATCAAATAAAATTTGCCCTAGCTTGTCTCACTAGTAGGAGTGTTCCTCGTGCTGTGCACACTGACTGTTTTAGGTCGGGGAGCAGCTGGAAGCTGCTTCTATCTCACCCCATCTTTAGTGTCACCTTCTGTCACACCAACCCTACTGCACGTCCTCCTTCACTACAGGAATCTGCACTGCGGTCTCTTTTCCTCCTGCACAGCAGCTCCATCTTTAACATCCTTTGCCGAGCGCATCCTCAATCCCTGCTTTACACATGTCCAAACCATCTCATCTTCCTGACGCTGAAAACTGCCAAATTAAGCTCAACAGAACTCACTAAATGATTAAGCTGGTCTCATGGGATACACCACAGGACTCTCCACCATCTTGTAAACCTTTCTTTTCACCCTTGCTACCATCCTTCTGCCAAAAATCACCCCTGACACTCAGCACCACCCACCCCGCCCTGTCTGCAGTCTCTTTTCCACCCATCTTTTGCAGTGTGCATGGATTTCAGTGGCTGCTCGTGGGTATTTTAAGTCGCCCACCTTCACTCACACACCTGTATCCCTCCAATTCACAAACGTGGAGTGAATTGTTAATGATTAATTTCCAGGGACATGTAAACATCAACATGGTTGTCTTAAGATGACACAGGGCCATTTCTCTACCTGATACTTTACATTTAAAAAAACAAAACAAAAAACAAACTTTGAACCTACAAAAAAAAAGAAAAGAAAAATAGATAAGACCAGGCCACAAGTCAGTGTACTCTAGTTCTGGTCTCGGGCCTGAATAAATGAGGAGTGTTGCATCGAGAAGGGCATCCTGTGTAAAATCTTTCTAAAATCAAACATGCGGAACATCAAGGAGGAGATTTCTATACAGGATCGGTCAGGGCCTGGGTTAACAGCGACCGCTTCCCAGTGCTTGTAGAAACTGGGCTACTGTTGGCCGAAGACAAAGCAAGAGGGAAGAAGGAAGGCATGTTCAGAAAGCAGGTGTGTAGGAGTGAAAGCAGGGCCTTTAAATGTAGGTACTATGACTAGTAATGGTTTTGACAGTGCAGAGAAGAAATGCTGGACATATTGGACAAAGGATGGAGCTGCCAGGAAGGAGGAAAAGGTTCATGGATGCAATGAATGAGAGGGGTGGTGTGACGGAGGAGGATGCTAGAGACAGGGTGAGATGCGGGCAGATGATCCCTTGCTATATTAAATTGAGGAGCCAAAAAGAAAACAAAGAAACCGAAAACAGGCACTTTGATTATTTATCTGCTTGGTTACAAAGCATCCAAGTACGTCGCTGTTTGATTAACAGGTGGTTTGATGTTCCGACAGGATTCACTTGTTACAGCGCGCCGTCACTTTTCCCCACAAATACTAAGCACATGACTAACACTGCATGCTACTGTCCTCTTAAAGTTCATGCTGCCTTTTAAAGAGTACCATGTGGCTCGGGGAAACTCTGAGCGTGATATGAATTAGCAACTACACAGGGAGAAATTGCTGTCGTTACAAATGCCTGGTAAAACTCACTTACGTTATCAAGTTAAATGAAAACTGCTCCGTTAGCTGCCCCAGTCTGACATTTGGGCTCCAACAAACGGAGCAGGTCCGCGCATCATTCAGCAATATAACGCACCACCAAATTATTTAACGGGTGGCATAATATGACGTTGCACAAAGTTCTGCACAAGTTTGTCATTGCGCTCAAGCGAGCTAAGTTAGCTAGCTGCAGCCAAAGCACAGGCGAAAACACAAAGCAACGACTACACACATTTCCTCCATTTTCAAGAGGAAGTTGGGAGCGCAAAAAGACAAAGAACGAGCTGCGAGTCATTACTCGAAGTCTGCCGGATTTGATGAGCCAAACCACAGCAAGAAGCTACAAGAAACATATTTCTACTATACCTTGTCAGTCAAACAACAAACTGAGTTTTGTCTGGCCACGATTTGCACAAATAACAATCAAAGCTGTCGTCGCTCGTTGATTGCGTCACGGCTTCGGAGTGCGCTTCGGCTGTGTCCGGAAGCTGTCGCGAAGCATCCTTGAGATTTCAGGTTCTCTCTTCTTATTTCATTTCTACCACGATGCAAAAGACAAAAGCTTTATTTTATTTATTTAATTTGATCCCATTTGTTTTGTTTTTATTGTTATGTTTTATTTTTATTGTTCATGTTCAAAAACTTTACGTCCATAGTTTTTTTTTAACTGGGGACATAAAGTCTGTCAACAAAGATTGTGGAAAAAAAGGGTAATGTTATAAAAGCTCCTGTTTTACATTTCATTGTTCGGTGTGTACACTTCACGCGTTCATACCCAGTGTTGGGTAAGTTATTTTGAAAACGTAATTGATTATAGTCAAGTTATATTTTTTACTGTAACAACCACAAACACGTTTATTGAATCATATTTCATAACTTTATATGCAAATATAAGTTGTCAGTTTTAAAATCCTATGCACCAGTTTTGCAAAAAACAAAGTTACTTGCAGCCGTTTGCCTTTTACCCTTTAGTATAACCGTTTCAAACTATTTACATAGCAATCGGGTGTTCTGCATTAGATAAGATACCACACAGATTATTTGTTTGTTTTTATTTTTGGTCATAAGCAGAGTGCTTGCTGCGAAAAAACGCCGCGTATATCTTGTTAATCATGACTCTGGTTTTAAGTGGCCTATCAACACAATTTAAAAACTGGTATATGTCACCTTGTTGCTTCGTCATCTTGAAGTGGTCATGTGATTGTCTTACCACGACTACTTTATTCTTCCTCAGTCAAGCAGCAGCACTCGTGCGATTGTTTTGCCCCCTTATCTCCAGGTGTTGTGCCAAAACGTGATCGTTGGGCAGAAAGCTGTAGCGCCCAGATTACTTACAGCTACTTCCGTGCAACTGATATAAGATGCCGTAAGCTGAACACAGCTTCAACCGTCTGTTTGTTGAAAAATAGTAACGCGACCGCATTTTCTTGTTAGTAACGGTAACGGCCTTGTAAAGATAGGAATAGTAATTAGTGAGATTACTCGTTACTGAAAGAAGTAACGTCGTTAGTAACGCCGTTAGAAACGCCGGAGAAAGTGCTGCAGCCAGATCAAACCAAAATCAAGCTCTCTGGCATCAACTATAGAAGAGATTATATGATTATAACACAAAGAAGAAGCATTGAGGGGCCACGTGCATGGGCGAGAACCTCCTTCCCTCAGCCAGAGGACTGAAGATGAGTCATGGATGGGTTTTCCATCATGACAATGGCCCAAAACATACGAGCACGGCAACAAAAGAGTTGTCAGGCAGCAGCCAATAAACACTACTGAGAGAGCTTCTGTAAAGAGGAGTGGGTCAAAATCCCTCCTGAGATGTTTGCAAACCTGGTGACCAACTACAAGAAACATCTTGCCGATGTCCTTTCCAATAAGGGTTTCTCCATCAAGCGCTAAGTCATGTTTTGCTTGGGGATGAAATACTTATTTCACTCACTAACATGTAAACCAGTTTATAACATTTATGGAATTTTTTTCTTTCTTTTTGGTTGATTCTCCCATTGAAATTAAAAGATTGTAGTCGTGGTATTGATGGTGTTGATGATTTGGTGTAAAATTGATGTCATTTTTATTATACCCTAAATTAATTTTTCAGCCCTGTTGATGTTCCTGCCACGAATCCACTGTGAGCCTGTAACTTGAAAAAATAAATAAATAAAACCAGCTGATTCTGGAATAATCAGTTGGGACGTATTCACTGTGTTTTCAAGGAATAACCGATGTTTAGTAAAACTTGAGCATGTCAGCCCAGACAGAAGTGAATCTGCTCCCTGCCGAGTTTCCTGATGAGCCTGAAGAAATTTATTTTATTCGATCGATGTAAAACATATAAACGGCTTAAACTGCAGAAATTTCCCCCCTTGAAATATTAAAGACAGCTTGGTTATAAAAGCTGATTAGATGTTAATCAGCTTTTATACATTTAAAAAGCTTTGGACTTACTGTAGTTACTGTTATTATTGATTACCCAGCTGGTGTCATCATGGACAACTGCAGTGATAAAACCGAGAGGATTCGATATCAGCATTTAATAGACTTCAGGGTTGCAGTCAACATTTGCTCTGTGCTTTCACAAACACTATGAGCATCATCATCTTTTATATTTACCACATCAATGACACAACATATTCCATATTTTGATCATCTTTAATTACAAAAAAGGAAAACAATAAATAAATCTACTAGTAAAAAAAGTAAAAGCTTAAACTACAAATTATGAACAGGAAAAGGTTACATAGGAGAATATTAACTTACCGGTTGCACACCAGCAGTTTCCAACAGACTTAAAGCAACAATCTGACTTTTAACAGGAGTCTGACGACCACAGGTGTAGCTACGTTAGCTTTCATCGTTTAATGACATGGGCGTACTATTATGTAAAAAATTATTCACACAGCCCGGATTTGATCGAACAATTACATTTACCTATACAAAAGTAAAAACAAGCAAACAAACAGGTTAAAAACATACGAACAAAATATGAAAATGTCTGAGCTTACATTAAGACCGCACTAACCTCAGAGATTATGCATCGAGATATAACAGTGGGCCTGTTGTTGCTATACATAACTTATTGTACATAAGGTCAGTGCTATGTTTTCTCTACTAGCATGATCAAAAACAACAGACACACAGAGTCTCTGTCCAAGTGTCATGTGGCTCGAGTGACGTGAGGTTTTTAGACTGAATCTCATCTTTATACCAAACGCAGCCGTGCGAGAAGTCTCACTTTTCACAGACATGAGAAAAATAAAACAGGGACGTGGTTGTTGGTGCCAACACAAACTGGCACCGTGCATATGTACAGTTCATATTAAATTCTTACAAAATGATAAAGGCTCATGCTGTTAACCATTAGAGCAAGCCCGCAACCTCATCAATCTTTGCAAAGTGATTCAATGAGAGAAAAAAATATACAAAACAGAAAATGTCTTTAATCTGAGAGGAATCTAAATTTCTGAGATTAATGTTCTTTATGTTATAGTTTAAGTCATGTTCCCTTAGTGCACAGTGGAAGACTACAGAAAAGTGATGGTGGAGGTGCTGCAGCTGGAGCCTGCAAGAAAAGATCGGTACAGGTAAGAGAACCAAAGAGAAACCGATTTTAAAAAAGTGAACGTTTCAGAGAAAAAATAAATCATGTGCTTATGTGATTACCTATTAAAGCGTTGTGTTGATAGCTGGAGTATATATGGTCTTGGAGACTGCGGTGCCACTGCTGCCCCCTGCTGTTAACACCTGGAGCTGCAGCTGGTAAACGCTGTCGGCCTGAAGACCATAGACGGTCACCGACCTCTGAGACTGCGGAGGAAGAAGAGAGTTCACAAAAAACTAAAGTAAAAGTATAAATAGGATGAAAAGTAAAATGAAGAGGCCAAACCTATTTTTTCTTTTTTTAAATGGTAACAATTTCCCCTTAGCTTTCACCTCCAGTTCATCCCTTTTAAGGTGCTGCTTACTAAGCCGTATCAACCTATCTATCACAAAGTGGGTCACAATTACATATATATAACACAATATATATATCACACACATATATCATACATACACATATATATACATACATACAAGTATATATAATATATAAATATATATATAAATATATATATAGTAATATATATATATATATATATAAATAATATATATAATATATTTATAAATTTATAAATGTCGGTAAGCACTGTAGGTTTAAGCACAGGATATTTAACAGAGGTAAATTAATCATTTGTTGGGGACTACTTTCAGGATGTGTGTGATGTTCTAGCAGCACAACTAAAAAAATAGTAAACTACAATCAGCGGTGTGTGTCATTGATGGGTTTTTAATAGTAAGCTCTGAGGTCTGGTAATGTTTATTATATTTTTTATTGAGTGATTATTTTTTTGTTCATTTCATCTTTGACTCCCTGAAGCTTAATTCTCTAAAAGACAAAGGCAAAAAAGAAACAGGACGTGAAACTCCTTTTTGACTCACACAAACACACCGTCTCTAGTCATTTTAGCTGTGACGATCTACGCTTTCGCTTTGTCTCACCGGTGCGATAGTCTGTGTCTGGGAGATGAGCGTGTCTTCCAGTCCATCGGCTTTCCCCGCAACCTCTGACTGAAGCGTCCAGGTAAACTGGAAACCCTCGACAGCTGTCGGGTGAAGCGTGTGCTGGGACAACCTCCAACGAAAGGTGGCGAGCAGAGTACCGTTGACCTGTTGGAAGTCTGCGGTCAGTCGTTCTGGACGCAGTACTACCTTTCTGCCTGACAGGAGGCGCTCTGATGCAAAGGAAAGCCAAAACATTATCTGAATGATTTAAAACCAGGTTAAATTAAGAAGTTTGATTCAACTACTTAACTGCAAAAAAGGCTGTTTAGCAAAACTACTTGAATGTTGTGGTTTTTCAGTGCTTGTATTCAAACTGATCATCAAAAAGGTATTTAAAAAAAAGGATTAGTGAACACCACGAATACATCTGTAAATAGTTACCCCTACTCTCAGTGTTGCACAGCAAACTTTTGCCTCCTCTGACCCTGACAGAGGAGCAAGTCGGGGTTGTAAGCCAGGCAACAGCCTCTGACCGTGGGTCAGCTTTCAGCGCCACAGCAACCCGGTACTTACAGGCAAACAGCAAACCTGTGATGGTGTGATGAGTGCCCTGGAGAGAGGGGAAATTAAGCCAAGTTGGAAATGTTTATAGTTAAAGTTTAAACTGACACACATTTTAGCCCTATTCTTGTCTCCACACGTGTCTCATAAGCAGCTTGTAATATAAAAAGTGTATCGAGTATTTCTTAGAGACAGAAACTACACACACACACAGACTGAACTGTACTGCACCATAGAAATGTACTTATTTGTGTTATGGTGATGAAATGTGATGTCTAATCCGTGCACACACACATAGTTGCAGTTACAGAATAACAACACATCTTTACAGTGTTACAAACGCACAGATCAGCCCCCACCCCTGTGCGTATACCTGCACCATAGTTGTTCTCTCCATGCTTGTCACATTAGTGCTGCAGGTATGCGGTCGCCACCTCAAAATGTACGGGCCAGCGTGTCTCTGTCTCACTGTTAGCGAAAAGACCAAAGAGATACGTTTACTTTTTGTGTAAAAATGAATGATATAGGAAAGTCAATGCTTCTTTTGTCAACTTTTTTAACTTGTTATCAGCTTGATTTGAAGAACTAACTGCTGTTTCTTCTGTGACTTCAACATTTCAGTGAGTGGAATCGAGTGCAAAAACCAAAATCATGCATTTGAAATTGATTAAGCCTTAAAAGTCAGGGGCGGGAAGGCTCGGCTTACGCTAATTCGAGTTACTATAGTGGACCTGTGGGATTATCTATCACATAATAAAGCTTCGAGCCGACTGACTTATTCAAGTTGAATGTTTTTAATATTCTTACCAGGAGTTTGTTCAGTTGTTTAGTGTTTCTAGACCCACTCACCATGCTGAGGCCACTTCCAGAACACCTTCACCTGGAGCTGGTTGTTATGGTAATGAGGGGCGGCAACCTCCAGCCGCAGGTTTCCAAGGGCAACGGGGCTCAGAGGGGTTTCGGGGTGAGGGAGAGAGGAGGAAACCGGGAGGTCAGAGGAAGAAGGCGAGAAAGAAGAGATCGAAAGAGAAGAGGGAAGGGAGGATGAAGAGGAAGAGGAAGAAGAGGGGAGCTCATTGGAGAAATCGTCGCCTTTGGTCGAGTCTGGTCGAGAGGACGGAGAAAGAGACGGAGGAAAAGAACTCAGCGTAAAACTTTACTTTTGTGTGTCTCTGTGGATTACATATTGACCATGTGCATGTTTTGTATATACAGACCTGTTACACAGCACATGGAACCTATACTGTGGCAGAAATATCATAAACTGGTAATGAGACTGCAGCTGGTAGCTAGCGGAAACACTCCTTGGCTTTATCTGGCCTAACTGACCCTCATTAGCGATGAGCAAACAGCTAATACGCAGAGACTATGTAAAAATATTAATACTCCCAAATTATGAATGGCAGCATGTTCCATATAAAGTTGTATGTGGTTTGGTAATAGAGCTGCAGCTGGCTATAATCCTCTGCTGAGCTGACCCGATAGGTCACCTATAAATACCTCTGTTGCCTGGAAGACCATTAACATCACCAACTTTCCACTGTACTCTGTGTTTCAACAGCGCAGCTGTATGTAGACAGAATATGTCGAGAGTCAGCAAACGAAGCAGCCCTGAACTTACAGGAAAATCATTAACTCAATAACGTATGGCTCTGCTAACAAACAGCTTCTGTAGACTGTGCTGCATAAGCAGTATTTGCTAATTTCATGACAAGCTAGCAATGACATATTCAAAATAAGTAACTAATAATTGCTAGCTTCCTTGCTGAATCGCAACAACACTAAAGTTTAAACTTGGCCAGGAAGGCTGCATTTATTTAGCACCTCTTATATGTGCAATGTTTATTTCCACATGACAAAAACTCTCCAAAAGCCACTGAAGGCTCGATGGTAATCATCCAAACTGTTGATAGAGATGGCTTGGATTTATGGTAAACCATGTAATGCAAATGCACAAACATTTACACCTAGAAATAATTACTGAAAATGAACTACAGCTGTGAGAAGCAGTGGCGCTGCCATGCACTCTCACACACTCAAGTCCCACCACAAAAAAAGCACATTTATACTTGACTGAAATTCAATGAATGCTTCAGACGTTTTGGGAAATATGCTTTCTTGCTGACAGTTGGAGGCTCCAGGATGGCGCTTGCACATAACCCCACCCCGCTGTGCAATTTTACTCTTTTTGCATTGAAGAAATATACTTGGCATTTTAACTGTAAAGTCAAATCACCTGGCCCCACAGGACAGCTGTTTGCTTTCATTACCTGCATGAGGGATGGTAGTGAAGACAAGCTGCGCTCTAGGACTCTTCAGTCTCTTCTGACCCCAGTAGGCCACCGTCTGGACAGAGAGCAAGTAGGAAGTCGCAGGCGGTAGACCGTGCAGCCACACTTCACACTGCGCCTAAAAGACAGGAATAGAAAGAATGATTATAGAGATGCAATTTGTCTTTTTTTGCACATGTAGTCCAACACATTAGCAATTTATCAGTCTGTACTGATGCAGATTTACTAGCTAAATCTGGACAGGGATCACGTAAAGAGTGACAAAAACACTAATGATACGTCTGCTGCAGACGAGGTCCAAGAAAACCTGCTAACTTTGATACGTCGTCAGCATCATCGCCATAGAAACCCCAGTTGTCTCCATCGTCCCTCCGCAGGACTGACAGTCCAGGCCTGTTCTGCATTAGCCTGCTGTTTGACTGACAGCTCGTTAACAGGCTCTCAGTCAATCAGGTCTGTTTGTCTGCGTGGACTGGTACTAGTCACAACAAAGAGATGATCGCATGATAAATCTGTGTGTGTGTGTGTGCTTCCTGCACACAAAGTGGGGTAAAAGGATTTCCATTACCTTCGAGATAGACAAAACATATGCCTTGTACAGCTGTGTGTGTGTCTACGTGTGTCGTTTGTGTAGCGGATAGAGCAAGAGACGTTTGGGATAATGTCAGTCGACATTACATGTAAGAAAGCAATGAACTATATATTTAAAAGCACTGATACAGCAGAGGTTTTTTTCACATTCGAGTGCTTCCTCTGAATTCCCCACTTTACCACGAGGCTTAAATGCTAGCTTTCGCCACTCCTGCAGAAATTCCTGATTGACAGGATATGTGTTTTATCCCAATCCTGGGAATACAACATATTGTGCTCGCAGACTGCTTTCTGTGATATGAAAAGTTTCACACAACATAGCTATGTTAGCTATGTTGTTCTGGGTATTACCTACCTGTTGTGATTCTGATTTGTGTGTATGTGTGTGTGTTTGTAGATGCAGCTGCAAGTAGGAAACACTAGTTAGGGGGGCTCATTTAAATTCCAGACCTCCCAGCCAAGCAGAACAGAGGACCAGACTACAGATAAATGGCTCCACCAGGATCAGTCTGGGATCGCCATCACTATTTAGCATAGCTACGTCCATATGAGTGTGCCGCACTTTGATGTTTATGCTTGAGCTTTTTGTCTGAAGTAAATGTTAACATCGTACTTCAAAAAGAGCATCTAAAGCTGAAGAGTCTCGTACAAGTACTTTGAATGTGTTTACCATTTGGAGGAAAAAATGTTCAGTCAGTGCACAGGCTACCATACCTGTTACGTCAAAGCTGTAATATCTGTGTTATTTACTGTGATTATGGGTATTTTGGTACTGCTGACTGGACTTAACTGCATCATGAGCGTATTTCATCATCATCATCATCATCATCATCATCATCATCATCATTCCTATAATCAGGATAAGAAAATCCTCCCCTTTAAGTATTACGGCTGCATTAAATATAATTTAAACAGTACATTTTAAAAAATCTTTCACAAGTTAGAAGTCACTGAATTAAGCAACAAAACAGCAATGTGTTACTTTGTAAACTGACTTCATATCCCATCATTCTTTGCATTTCATTCTTGCACCACATGAGTACAGATCGTTTTTAGCATCTATAAATTGGAGCTTTATCAATTTTGGTGGAAACGTTTCACAAACATATTTAACAAAGATAAAGAAGAGCATGTTTTTTTTAATGGCTCATTATTTGAATCCACATCTTGAATTAAGATGCACATTGTGTCATTTGAAGGATGATTCAAAGTCCTGTTAATGTTTGTAACGCTACACCTCAGACATGCGGAGTACATCATACACGCTTAATGGGTTTTTATGAGTTGTCAAAGTTTGCTACTCCAGCACAGTAGCTGAATCAAATCCTGTTTAAGTTTAAGTGTTTAAGATTTTACTGCACAGGCCTGTAAAACCACCATAGAAATCACAACGAGGACCGTGTGTGTGTGTGTGTTTACGTGTTTACATATTATTGTGGGGACCAAATAAACAACGTTTACTACACTTGTGGGGACCAACAGTCCTTATGGGGACAAAATCCCGGTCCCCACAAGTTTGAAGGCATTTTTAAGCTAAGATAAGACTTTACTGATCCCACGGCGGGGAAATTTGTGCATTACCTCACCTGAGGTAGAGACTCACAATGCGGTTTTAGTGAAGGGGTTACAATTAGGTTATGGATAGGTTTAGGGTAAGGGTTAGGGTTAAGCATTCATTTTTGGGTTGGACAAGGGGCTAGGCAAAGCATTATATCAATTAGATGTCCCCACAAATATATGAAAACCTGTGAGTGTGTGTGTCTGTGTGTTTGTGTGTGTGTGTGTGTGTAAGGTGCGTGTCTTTACAGGCATAATAAAACCTCTCGTGTGCAGCTACACCGCTTGTGTATTCAGGGTATGTGGTGTTATTGTGCGCTGTTATACTTCACAGGAAATATATAATATATGTCCTACATCTTATTCCTATTCAATTCAATTTTATTTATATAGCGCCAAATCACAACAACAGTCGCCTCAAGGCGCTTTATACTGTAAGGTAGACCCTACAATAATACATACAGAGAAAAACCCAGCAATCATATGACCCCCTATGAGCAAGCACTTTGGCGACAGTGGGAAGGAAAAACTCCCTTTTAACAGGAAGAAACCTCCGGCAGAACCAGGCTCAGGGAGGGGCGGGGCCATCTGCTGCGGTTAGAAGTGAGGGTGGTGACATAGAAGCACAATAAATAGGAGTTTGAGGTAGTGAAAATAGAATATTGTTCTTATTAACTGATTTTACAATTTTCTTACTTACAAAGCCAACTTTGCAGAAAAGAAAGTCCCATCCATCTGTTATTACATGCTGATTTGCTAGAAAGGACCCTAATGCCTAAATCTCTCTT